CGATGCCAGCACTTCAAAGCCCTTGCATTCGTGGCTGCTCCCAACGCATCTGACTTGGCCAATGCCCAACGCTGTGACCTGCGACCTTCGCCCACCAAGGTTGGCACCTCCACGCCTGCGCACTGTTTGAATGGTTTCATGAACAATGGGGATGGAAGGGGAGAGCCCAGTAGTCGCGCTGGTCGGGGATGGATCCTTTGACGTGTCCACAAATTGAAGCTACGTCGAATGAAGGATGGCGGTGCTCCAGGTGCGTCCACACTGCTGCGCCATCATCGCAAACACAAAGGGTTCGACTTGTCGAGCCCAGTCGGCACCGCATGCACGTGCAGGACGTCCCTCTTCCACACTTTGCGTTGTGCACGGACCAATTCCCTCGACAGTACGACAACGTGTTCCCGGCCAAGCTGTGTTCGAACCAAACGTTCGAGAACAGATCCTGTCAAGTTCCATGCTTGGAGTCCAACATGTTCCGGCCATGGCTTTGGCGTGGCATGACGGTCCGTCGCCTTGGTTCCTATGCACCACCCGTGGTCCATCCCATTTGGTTCACGTCGCGCATCCAGATGCTGACCCACGCAAGGTTCGTATGCGCGAGGAGAGAACGCTCCGCTCCTTTAACGTCGTCTGGTCCGACGAAGCTGCTCGTCCATCGGTGCCATGGTCCTCCGAAATGATGTGCTCGACGAAGCTGATGACATCAAGGATGGACCGGAGGAATGCATCGCATGTGCATGAGAACGTCGTTTCGTCCAAACCTGTTGAAATTGGTTGGAACAACGTCCCAAACACGTCGAGCTGTGCTCCCAGGTCGGAGGTCGTCGAGGGTCGGCTGCTTGGGACTCGCTGACCCGTCGGCAAGTCCAAGCATCGCTCGAGGGGGGAGGACGGCCGAGCACGATCGAAGGTTCGCCCGCTGTAACGAATGACCACATGACAGCGTCCCACCGACGCATGGCCCCCAGACGAGTCCAGGGAACGTTCCACATGTGCAGGGACGGCACCACGGGCAACGGGCCATTCCCGAAGGAGAGCGTCGCAATAGAGGCACCCGCCCTTGGAATCTCCATTGGCGTCCTCCACGTGATGTGAACCTCATTTCATGCGAGTCTTCCGAATTGGTTTGTTTGGCTGCGCATCCCCACACCAAGCTTTGGACATGCCACATCCTTTTGGCCATTGGGACAACGATGTGGACGAAGCCCCACCCCCATCCCACCGTGCCCCTTTCCCGACTCGACGACACCGCGCGTGACGTCATGCCACCGAAACGTTGCGATCTTTGTTGTGTGCAACGAGACGAGCGGTGGAACGACATCCCAACCACGAATTCCATGTCGAACGCACACGGACACAATTGCACGCCCGACGCGGTCCGGTGGAAGGAGCCATCACAGCCCATCGTGGTCCAAGAGGTCGGGGTTCGCACTCTGCCCAAGAGGACGACAGGTAGCTCGCGTGAGTTGCGATCTTGAGCTGTCCTGCCCCTGCCGCTTGCCTCCCTCGGCAACGCATTGCTGCTCCAAAGCGTGTTGCTCGCATTTGGTTCTTCACGCACCATGATTGCAGCAGCTCCACCTGAAAAATGGAAATGCCAACTGTGCCATGCGCATTGTCGACTGGCGGGCAAGAGAATCAAACGAGTGCTGCGTCGACAGTTCGTGGCGAGATCCTCGAGAAGATGCCGATTGCGCAACCAGAGGGGCTCGAGCGTGCGTGCGTGCGGCGGTGCTGGCGCGCGCTACTGCCTCTGATTCGATCGCATCGCGGATGACCGCGTGTGACGCAGATTCGTCCGCCCATCAACTTGAACCTCGTCGTGATATGGAGACCGATCTGGAGCAAGGTCGCCATGCCAAGGGGTTGCAATGGCGCCGTGTATCGCACGCTCTGTTGTCGTTGTTTGTTTGCTAAGCCAATAAACCTAGGATCTTGGGCGCCGCTCCGTTTCGCACGACCCTCGATCTTGCCGACTTGCCGCAGTCGATGGGCGGCCTGCACCTACGTCGGATGCGTGTGGTTGTGGCTTGGCATAGCCGCCAGCTAGTCTACTGAACTCCCCTCATGTACAGCGTCGGGCAGATTGCTGCGTGTGCATCCAGCATCCACGGGAGATCTGCATCCATCCTCGTCGAACCCAGACGTGACGTCGACGTGGTCGCGGCCATGACTCGGGCGACGGGAATGTGGGACATGGAGCGATCCCGTTGCGGAGGATTTTATTTGAAATGGGCAGGCAAAGCTTGCGATTTGTATACAGAATAAAACTTTCGATTCAATTTTCACTCCCCCGCCCGCCTGGTAATTCGGGCGAGACACCGTTCAACTTGGACAGGCCAATCACGACGCCGGGGGTGGGAGGGGGAATATTCCGTCGACGTCGGCCGCCGGCACGGCCACGTGGAGAGCTGCGACCACTTTGCAATTCGTGCTCTCTCACGCCATGGTACTGTTGTCCTGGCGGGCTGGTCCCCTGTCGTGGTACTCACGCGCGACGTGGACTCTTGTAGGCCCCTCCCCACAATGCTGCCCATGGCTTCGACATCATGCGCTCACCGAGCTTGAACAAGGTACGCCGTCCCGACCCCTGGTTTCAATGGCTCTCATGTGGGTGTGTAGGGTCTTGAATTTACCCCCGGTCAACGCGCGGCGCAGAACCTCCGCGGCCTCCTTCCGTCCGCCGTGTGGACTCGCGAACAACACTTGGAACACGCCATGCTTCAACTCCGCAGCAAGGCCACCCCGCTGGAAAAGTACATCTTCATGCAATCCATGCAAGTAAGCTGACGCGATGTTTTCCTGCGTGTGGAGCACATCTTGATTGTACCTCATGAATAGGACAACAACGAAGAATTGTACTATCGCATGCTCGTCCACTACACCCACGAACTGATGCCGATTGTGTACACCCCCACCGTTGGCAAAGTAATCGTTTCCTTGTTCCTGACGCGCTCTCACGCATGGCTGCAGGCGTGCCAAGAGTTCAGCCACATCTACCGTCAAACTCCGCGCGGCTTGTACATTTCGATCAACGACGTGGGCCACGTGCGCGAATTGTTGGACAACTGGCCAGAGCACGACATCCGCGCGATTGTTTTCACGGACGGCGAGCGCATCTTGGGTCTTGGCGATCTCGGGATCAATGGCATGGGGATTCCCGTTGGCAAGCTCGCGTTGTACACGGCGTGCGCTGGCGTCCACCCGAGACACTGTCTCCCTGTCACGCTCGACGTCGGCACCAACACCCAATCGATCTTGGACGATCCGTTTTACATGGGCTTGAAGCAAAAGCGCGACCGCACGGAGAAGTACGATCAACTGGTCGACGAGTTCATGCAAGCTGCTAAAGCCAAGTATGGTCCCCATGTGCTCCTGCAAGTACGTGGCCATGGATGCCAGTCGCTGGCCCGCTCACTGTTGTGGTAGTTTGAAGACTTTGGCAACACGAACGCTTTCCGCTTGCTCCACCGCTACCAAAACACGCACTGCACGTTCAACGACGACATTCAAGGCACGGCATGTGTTGTCCTCGGGGGCCTGTACGCCGCGGAGAAGCTCACGAAGAAGCCGCTTGCCGACCACACGTTTGTATTTATGGGCGCCGGTGAAGCTGGCACCGGAATCGCCGACTTGATTGCTATGGCCATCGCCAAGGAAGCCAATTCGACTGTCGAGGAAGCGCGCCGCCGCATTTTTTTGGTCGACTCGCGCGGCTTGGTGACCAAGGACCGGTACGAGTCGCTGCAACACCACAAACTCCACTACGCGCACGACCAACCGGCCGCGGCCACGCTACTCGAGACGGTCCAACGCATCAAGCCGTCCGTGTTGATTGGGGTGTCGACGATCGCGCATTCGTTTTCCAAGGAAATTTGCGAGTTTATGGCTGCAACGAACGAACGACCGGTCATCTTTGCCCTGAGCAACCCGACGAGCAAGGCCGAATGCACGGCCGAAGAAGCGTACACTTACACGAACGGCACGTGCGTGTTTGCGAGCGGATCGCCATTTCACCCCGTGACCCTGAATGGCCACACGTATGTGCCAGGTCAAGGCAACAACGCCTACGTTTTTCCTGGCATTGGCCTCGGCGTCGTCGCCGCGGGCCTCACCCGCGTCGACGACAACATGATGCTCATTGCTGCCCAGACCCTAGCGGACAAAGTCACAGACGCCGACTTGGCCACCGGCAGCGTGTACCCTCCGCTCTCGTCCATCCGTCAAGTATCGCTCGACATTGCCGCCGCCGTCGCCGATTATGTGCGTGGAGCTGCCGTTTGCGTGCCGAAAACGACTGACGAGATGGGTTGTTGTAGGGCCACAAACAAGGGTACTCTACTGTCGACGCCCCGTCGTCGTGGATGGACCACTGCAAAGCGGCTATGTACACTCCATAGGCACCACGATATCCCCCACAAATCACACGTTTTCATGCGTCAGATGGAGAATGTCGCCATGGTCGGTCGAGTGAATGGGAGGAACGTAGAGTGCGAAGCATGTTGGTGTGTCGGCTGGGCGTATATGGGACGGCTGGCGTCGTTGGGCCATCGAGTCAGGGTAAAGCGAGTGGGACCGAGTCGAGTACATGCACTCACCATGTCGAAGAACCCCACCGAGGGCCTCGAGTGTTGCCACCAACGCGTGGACGAGAGAGTTGTCCATACGATTGTGGCCTGACTGGTCAACTTAGAAATGGCTGAACGTCTCTCGAAACATCAAGGAATTCTCCAGCCACACATCCATCCCTACGGCAGCAATCGTTTGACGAGGTCCTTTTGGGCGTCCGTGAGTTTCGTGGGAAACTTGATGTTGTGCGTGACGTAAAGGTCGCCGTGCTGCGATGGGACGTGGTGGTGCGGCATCCCTTCCTCCAACACCCGACGCACTTCAAATGGCTTGGTCACGCCGTCATGTGCAATGGAGACCTTGTGGCCATCCAAGTGCAACAGGGTCGTGTCAAAGCCCAAGAGCGCGTCCTTGAGGGAGATTTGAACCTGCGCATGCAAGTCGTCTCCGGCTCGGCTACATACATCGTTGACAAATGTGTTTTTTTTTAATCGACGACGCACCGAAACACGCGATGCGGCAGCTGTACCAAGCGCATGATGACGTTGCCAGGCATGATCCCCGGGTGCTGTTCGCCGTGGCGTTCAAACACAATTTCGTGGTTGGAAGGCATGCCGCGCTCAACAACGCCCGTAATCGTTTTCATTTCCTCCACCACCTACAACAACGAAAAGTCGTTCAGCTCAAGAATTACCAATATGCGACGGTTCTCGAAATCGACAACGATGGGCGTAGCCTCGAGCTGCATGACAGTATATATGCACCTTGTGGCCATGACAGTGAGGACACTTGGATTTGTACGTCTTGCCTCGGCCTCCGCACTTGGGGCACTGATGCTGCATTTGAACCGTAAACCCTGTCGACATGCGTCAGCAGCTCGTGTGCTTTTTACAAGGACGACGTGCATGTACCTGGTCCCATTTGCTGATTGACGAGGACAACGCCTTGGCCACCGCAGGTCTTGCAGGGTTTGGTCTGCATGATCACGGTCCATGTTAGTGCACTGGGCTTGCTTTCCACATGGGAGATGTCGTACCACACCGTCTTTGGCCCCGGTGCCTTTGCATTTGCGGCAAATGACGTTGCGTCGAAATGTTACGCTCTTCTCTCCGCCATTGTACAATTCCTCCAGCGTCACTTGGACTTCCACCGCAGCATCTGCACCACGTTGACGCCCACTTCCGCCGCCAAAGAATTGATCTACGATGCACGAGTCGCGTGAGCATAGTTTGTTGTCCGAATGATACGGCTCATGCGTTTCGATTGTACCAAATGGATTGGACGGACGGTTGCCTTGGTGTTGATGGCGTTGCAGCCCCTCCTCGCCTTCAAAGTCGTACACGTCCTTGAGCTCTGGGTTGGACAGAATCTCGTACGCGCGCGAGATACGTTGGAACTTGGTTTCCGTGTCGCTGTTTCCCTTGTTCTTGTCGGGGTGATATTGAAGACTCAACTTTCGATACGCTTTCTTGATGTCACTCTCGGATGCGTCCATACCGACTCCAAGCACTAAAAAGCGTGTGACGCCAGCAGCATGGGACAGAATCACATACCATCGTAGTAGTCTTCATGGTGGTGATGCTCATGGGCATGAGACAGTGTGCCGACGGCCAACAGCACCGCAAAGTAAACCCAGAGCCCCAGGCGCATTGGTTGAGATGAGCAGCCGCACAATAATCGGAAATTATCGGCGACATGATGGAAAAGATATCCGGATGATTTCGAAATATTCGGATAATGCATCGTTTGATTGGGCAAAGTATCCGTATGTTCGGATAACGATAGTGACACGTGGAGCAGTGACAATTCTCGAAGGGTCCATTTATTTCTCGTTTTAAAAAATTCGTCAAGAATTCTGCCGAAATTTGCGAGGTCATCACAAAGTGGACCACCGGAGGTGTGCTGCTCGAGTATCCACTACATGCAGTTACTCAAGAATAGAATATGTGAAAAACGGATAAAAAAGCATCAGCTTTTGCACTAAATCGCCCGTCACTCAGCATAATGCATCATACAGACATGCATGTCGTCGAAGTGTGCAGCACGGCGTGCCCGCTTTTCATTCTGTCCCACGATGGAGCAGGTATCGGCACACCTCGAGACCACATTACCCGGATATGCTTCCAATTACTGCGAGGTAGTGAACCATTTAGTGACCATTTTGAACACGGAGCAAGAAAAATATACTTTTATAGGGTAATCACGAGTTGAAAACCTCGGAAAGTATGGACACGGCGGGAACACGAGGGATATTTGAGATAGCGTCACAAATGTACACGTCGAAGAAGAGCCACCGCCCGCAGGCGCATCCTGTGTGCACAGCATGCTCCGATGCCGGTTGTGGACAGTGGAAGTTGGTAAAGGCGTGGAGAGTGCCGCAGCGTGGTGCCGTGCTTCCAAGCCGACATTGGACCTGTGTTGCTCTGTAACACATCAGTTCACTCGGCGGCGGAAGATCTTGTTGTCCACTACGCAAAGAAGTGTGCATGCCCTAACCGTTGGAAGGAGGCATGCACTTCCTCCGCAACGTTGCTATTGCTGGTCGAGCATACAATCGCCAGGTAGTCCCACTGCCTCTGGCGGTCCATGCGTAGCCAATCTCCAGTTTGGAACCAACGCGCCAGGTAACGAGCTGATTTCCCAGCACTGAGTTGCCTTCCGCCTGCATCGACAGGTGCCTCGTGTGGCCTTCGCCTTGCGCATCCATGGTTCCTTCGCCCAACCGTCCCGTTGTCCACCACGTGGATTCCATGCATGTCGAAGCAGTCACATCCTGCTGTCAAATCCTCGGCATTTCATTTCGTCCGATTGAAAGCACAACGTGGCAGCGTGCGTCCTGAGAATCTAGGCTCCTCATCTACCTGGCCATATACGGCAGTCACACGACGACAGCGGCAGCCAAGACCGCGCGGCCCTTTCGCCGCGTCAAGGTTGAGAGATTCCACGGCTCACTCGGCCGTGCTTCCGTTGCGTGTGGACGAGTTAGGGGAATTACATTCTATCGGTTCAGATTGAAACTCTCTTGCAACTCCATACAAATTTCAAGTGATATGGCCGAGATATTATTACTAATCCACTGGGCCCGACGCCAGATGTGCCGACGCTCCCAGTGTCAGAGCCCCCAGGACGGCATCTCCCCCACACCCGACCTATCCAAAGCATCATGTTCCGCTCCGATCGCGGCCGACGGCGTGAGGATGTGCAGCGCAGTCTGTCGCATTCCATCACTGACGCGAGTGCCGCGACGTCGGGGTGGTTCCAACGACCGTCCACGCGATCCACGTCCCATCGACGACAACACGATGCAGACATGGCCGACTGGATGTCCCGCAGCGGCCCGGCCACGCAATTCTCGCGTCTCCACACAAACGACCGAAGCGTTCAGTCCACGCCGTCCATGTCGGACACGCAGTCGTCCATCTTCAAGTCGCTGCGAGGCGGAACAGTCATGGCGCCAACGTCGACTCGAATGGGCATTGCAGCGACAGCTGGCGGAATGCACTCGGTCCATTGGGAAGGACAGGTGCGCAAGAAGGGCGACTGGTTGCCTCGATGGGAGTCGCGATACTTGGTTCTGGATGGCACCGTCCTGCGATACTACAGCAAGCAGGACGACGCCCGGTTGGGCAAGCATCTGCGTGGCAAATTGATCTTGACCCATGTGAGTCCCGAGATACATAAGAAGAAGGAACACACGTTCGCCGTTGAAACGACAGGGCGCAAGATGTTTTTCATGTCGTGCGATACCGAGCTGGAAAAGGACATGTGGGTGGAGATGATCCAGGCCGCAATCAGCGAAGCGGCGGCGCCCCAGCGACAGCACGCCAACCGTCACGGCCAACCACCGCTCGTGCCAGCATCGTCTGCGCAACACCATCATGCCATGGTGCCTCCTACGATGCACCACCACGACCCGCGCGTGTTCCATGAACTCCAGCCTCCGGTCTTGACCAAGAACTCGATTTTCTCGAGCTGCGCCGACACTCCCCGCGATGCCGTCCATGCTGACATTCGCGATTTCTACAACGCCCTCCGCAAACTGCTCTTGTCGCACTCGTCGTCGGCGCAGTTCTTCCCGAAACTCAGTCGTGACATTGCGCTCACGTCCAACTACGCGCCGACCGTTCCATTCTGGGGCGACTACCACGGCCTCGACGGCATCTTGCACTTCTTTTCCATCCTTTACGACAACGTTGACTACTGCTCGTTCTTCGTCACAGACATCGCGTACACGACGGACGGCCGGACTGCGGTCGTATCTGGCCGCGAAACCATGGTGAACAAGGCCAACAACCGCAAGTTCACGCAGCAATGGCAGCATGCACTCGAAATAGCTCGGGATGGCCGCGTCAAAGCGATCGCGATCACAGCCGACCCGATCGCTGCGTCGGCCGTGTTTGGATGCAATGCCATGTCGAGCTTGCGCCTTCCTCGCTCCGAATACGACATGGACTTTGGCATGTCTTCTACCCCCGGCGCGTCGTCCACGTCATGGCAGTATGCCGCGGCCGCCACGACGACCGCTTTTCCCAACGGACTCGTTCAAGTTCATGTGGTGCGGGGCGAGCAGCTTGGCGGGCTCGACGACGACGACGACGACGTCGAGTACGACGTGAATCATTTGAAGGACATGGCGATGGCATCGCCGTACAGCAGCCACCATCACAACAATCAAAGGCCGAGCAGCGCGGCCACTTCACAGCGCCACTCGACATCATACATGTTTGCTTTTTGCATGGAAAAGACCCCGGCGGTGCAGGGAAGCATGCCGACGTCTCCCGTGGTGGCACGAACTGAAGCTGCGGTGGCTGACACGGTTGGCGATCCTCGATGGCATGGCAATGGTGGCGATGTGACCGTTCCGTTCGAAGGTGCTGTCGCGACGGGGCAGCCATGCTTTGTCAAGGTAGAAGCGTGGAAAATGACTCAGCGCCGCCTCATGTCGCCGCTGGTGGAGGATTCCACTCAAGACGACAACGAAAGCCGGCATGTGGAGCTCCTTGGCGTCGCCAAGATCAACCTGTCGCCGTTCATCGCGCTCGCTCAATCTCGACCGCACGTCGACACGATGCCCCAATGGTACACGCTGCTGTCCGTCGGGACCACCCCCGCATTTGCGTGTGGTCGCGTGCTCCTGAGCGTCCACTTTGAAGCCCTCGGAAACCACAACACTCGGTCGCCGTCCAGGACACCCATGCCGATCGTGACGTCGCCGGCAACGACGCCTATCAAGCTATACAAGCAACTGTCGTACGCGGACGCGAGGCGGACCAACAGGACGTTCCAAGTGGGCAACACCATGTTCGACGTGCCTGCACGGTATGAAATGATCAAAGCCGTCGGGCAAGGCGCGTACGGGTGTGTGATCGCCGCCAGCGACATCGAAACCGGCCAGTCGCTCGCAATCAAAAACGTCCCGAACGCGTTCAGCGACCTCATCGACGCCAAGCGGATCCTGCGCGAGATCCGATTGATGCAGCACCTGCGCCATCCCAAGCTCGTGAATCTTGTCGATTTGTTTCGACCGCCGTCGCTCCACGACTTTGAAGACGTGTACATTGTGACCGAACTCATGGAAACGGACCTCCACCGCGTCATCAACTCGAACCAGATCCTGAGCGACGACCACATTCAGCACTTTTTGTACCAAATGCTCGTGGCCGTCAAGTTTGTGCATTCGGCAAACGTCCTCCATCGCGACTTGAAGCCGAGTAACATCCTTGTGAACGCCGACTGCGACATCAAACTGTGCGATTTTGGCTTAGCTCGTGGACTCCGAGACCCCCTCGACAACCAGCAGAACGAAGCTGCCGCGGACCAACTTACAGACTACGTCGTGACGAGGTGGTACCGAGCGCCAGAGGTCCTCCTCACGTGCGCTTATGGCAAGCCCATGGACATGTGGGCGATCGGGTGCATCCTGGCCGAGCTCATTGGGCGGCGACCGCTCTTCCCCGGGACAGACTTTTTGCACCAGCTCAAGATCATCATGGAAGTTGTTGGGACGCCGGACGAATCCACCCTCGATTTTGTCACGCACGCCAAGGCGAAACGATTCATCACAAAACAACCCAAGCGAAGACCGATTCAGTTTGCATCGCTGTACCCGCGCGCGTCGCCGCTGGCCCTCGACCTCCTCGAGCAGCTTCTCGCATTTGATCCGCGACAACGCATCGACGTCGACGCTGCCCTTGCCCATCCATACCTGAGCGGCATCCGCGACCCTGCGCTGGAAGTGACGTGTCCACGCGGCGCGTTTGATTATGCATTTGAAAACGTGGAGCTGACCAAATCCAACCTCCAGGCGCTCATGTTTGAGGATATTTGTCGCTTTCACCCGGAAACGTTGGTCGGAGTCGATTCACCTCCACGGCATCCTCCCGTCCACAAGAAAATCACACCGACGTAGGATACAACCACTTGGGCAGGCAGCATGTTAACGAATCCTAGCCACAAGTACATGACTCGCGCCATCCACCCTCGTCAGGTGTCCATCGGAGCATCTTAGCAACCCACCGATCCTTTCAGGAACGAGTCCTTTATTACTTCCCAGAGGATGCATGGAGCGAGTCGCTGCGACGTTGCCACATCCACCTGCTGTAAACCTTCGTCCGTGTCTGCTGCGGAAAATACCAGTTCCTGTGTTGTGGCGTGTCGACTGCCGCAGATCCTGCCACGCGGACTCGACGCACGTGTGACATGCTGACGTTGAAGGACTCGACCAAGTGCACCCTTCACAAACGCACGCAAGCAACGGCGTTGTCGACACCACATTTGTCGGACGCTGGGGTTGTGTGGCAATTCCATATTCCCCATAACGACGTGACCAGGGCGCGGAAATGCCTAGGGAGAGAATCCCCTAGGGGCCCTCTTTGCCCCTTCCCTAGGGAGGGTGAGGTTGAGTGAACAGGGCCATATGGAGGGTGAATCA